ATCTTGTAATAAGATTTTGCAATGATACTAAGAACAAAATCTTCTTATTTCAAGAATATAGTTACTTAATTCTAGAGCCGGACTCGGTAATAGGCTCTTCAGATAAAATTTGCGATAATAAGAGAGGTTTCTAGGCTGTCTGGGCTGAATTTACGTAAAAGTAATACATAATATCATTTTTACCCACCTTTTTTCACATTCTAGTACTTTTAAGGGGCTATTTTATCGATTATACGAAGATGAGTTCCCTACTTCCGCCTTCTCTGACAAACTTCTTCCAGCACCTAGGCATTTTGTCTGCGCATGCGTGSAAAAGTAAACCGCTGAATTGAGCCTGCAGAGATTRCCCATGAGCCTGAGGGCGGAACATTTTCTGTCTAACAGGGCTTGTTTACTAGTTCTCTGTGTCTTTTGGAGATTATTTAAAACGCTATCGAATGGATATTTTATTGCCTTATGAAAAAGCTTGTCGCTAAGTTGCTATTTTACTCTTTATTTTAATAAAATCAAGWAGAAATTTCAACGTTGGGAACGAGAGATTAGTGTTGAAAGGCGCTAAAATAGATAGAGGTAAGGGAGGTAAGTYGGTTAATTCTTTCTTAGTGACAAGATTGATGGTTTATTCCTAAATTAAATTAACCTATAATCACCGCGTTGGGGTAGAGTCGTAAATAATTATTATTTCACTGTACAAGTACTGTACTTGTTTTCATCTTGCAAGCATACTTGAAAGTGGTTGCAATCATAGAAAATTCTCTGACTGGTAAAATTTCCTTTTTTACTCATGTTTCATGGTTAGACTGACTTAATATATAAGAGAAAGAAAAGGCCCAATAAAGTATATATGCACTTGCCGTAAATCCTCTATTGAGCATCCCCTCTTGAATAAACCCCCCCTTTTGTAATAAGTACCCCCCTTCCTAAAGGAAGAAATTTTTAAAGCCAAACCTTCCCAATTAAAGAAACATGTATACTGATTAAATGTGATTTATTAAGTCTTGATAGTTCACCAACATGTTAAATCACACTAATTTGGTCCTTATTTTCGGTTACATGACCTTCCCATTTCTGTTTTTCCCACTCTGCACTCTAGTTCCTTGTGAATTTAACAAATCGAAGTCAGGTTTCTATGGGTCTGTACTGTAATCGAACATGATGAAATGACGAACCTGACAGCTTAGAACCTACTGCATTTGGGCTAAATCAATACTTAGACCCCCCTCWCCAATGAKCCAATAAGCCCCCATCAAACTACCTGAAATAAATAAGCCCCCCCCTCCCAGCTTAATTTAATAGAGGATTTACATATGAAGTAAAAGAAATCTTTAGTTTTGTTCATTTCATAACCATGATCATGAACAACCTGTGCTGAAAATTAACAGAACAGTATATAATCAAATTAATTGTATCACCATCCACGAAAAAAGTCATGACATACCCATCTAAATTAATCCTAATGATGCTGTCATCCCAAGATTAAAAAATAAATTTGGTCAGACCTTGTCAGTTGTGGACATCTATATATTAGACTAAAAATGATAGTATATTGCAGCCTCATTTACTATAGTGATTGTCATAGGATTGGACCAGTACATCAATACAACAGTGCAGCTTGTCGGTTTAATTAAATTTTAATTTTAATTTAGTCTTTACAATGAAAATATAGAAAGGAACAATTCAAAACAACATCCACTCCTTGTAGTTTGAAAAGTAATTCATTCCTATCCATACAGAATACAGCGTCCTGACTTCACGCAAGCCACAGGCCTCCCACCATTAAGCAAAACTCGATAAACTCATGGTCTCATTTATAACGGTTTACTGAATGTCATTTATATTCCTTATAAATATTTCCCTTAATGTTCTTCTCTCTGATCAGTTGAGGGAATTTGCCACTAACACAGAGACTGTTATAACTATGCTTCATGGGAGTTTCACGTCGTAGTTTCCTACGATTCTCTCCTGTTCTCTCAGCATCCCACGTGATAAGATCAGAATTTCCCAAACTAAAAACTGTTTTACATCTAGATTTTAGTTATTTTATGTTCTACATTGCAAGACTACCATGCGAGGCCTCTGCTCTCAGGGTATCAATTTGTCTTTCAGTTTGAAATGTGATGACGTCACTTCCTTATTTCCGGCCTAAGTAAGGCAGGGTGGCCGTTCAAATTTGTCCGCTTTTCGCAATATTTTTAGCCATTCTACAAACCCTCCCTTAATTTCAATGTTAAGAATATTGCAGATCTCTATAAGCTGTAGTGCCCAAAATTCTCCATAGCTCTAGCTGCATTTTTAAATTAAAATCAAAATTTATTTTTAACGCCAGCCGAAACGATATCCCTTCTCCTCCCCTCTCGTTAGATTTGCACGATTATTTTCTGGTCGACCCTACAATCCCGAACCCAGAGCCCACGTTCCTTTAGTCACCATCCGATAAACCTCTCGTTTCTCGCTGCTGACCAAGAGGGACGTGGGCTCTGGACACGATATTGGTTGATACGGTTAGTGGGATTCCTTGATAAGATAAAGATAAATTCAAGCGGCATTTTATTCGTCTTTCATTGATTTTCTTATATCTTTTTCAATTAATATACCTCTTTCAAGTCGTCTGGGTTTTTTAGTTCCGTTAATAGACGTGTCTGCATGCCAGTACGTATGTTGGTCTCTTTAAGGCTGGTCCGTCGCTGGGTCCCTTGTCCCAAGTCAGTTCATCGTTTTGATGACAAAACATCAACAGTATAGTCATAACATTTATTTATCGAATTCATTCAAATTCTATTACAATCTATTTTATCTTATAAGCTGGTGGGCTTATTATGTCAGTCCCAAAGAACCGGTTAACCCTTATCATATACGTACGCTAGTGAGAAATTTGATGAGACTTCTATGAGACAAGTATAAAATGTATAAGATAAAAGCTAAGTAAGATCCGAGTGTTGTTTATCTAAAATCTAAGAACAAGTACAATTGCTACTTCTATTTAAAAAATATTTAGTGCGCGGATCACCTCAATCTTACGTTTTTTTCTAGGGTCAGTCGCAAGATTCTTGATGGTGAGACACAAACCTTCAAATTTTACCGATACAGTAAAAACCYGCATAAAAGAAAAAGTGGGTTAAGAACACCCAGCCTGAATTTGGGCGTTTTAAGTACCATGTAAATAAGAACACAATCAGCCTGAAATATTAAAAAGTGTTCTTAAAAAAATAAGAACACCTTCAGGTTGATTTTTCAGTAAACACCCGTTAAATAAGAACAAAATCAGCCTCAACTCCAAAAATGGGTGTTCTTTTATGCGGGTTTTTACTGTACCTTGAATCAACCTCTGGGCTGATCTATGTCAGGGTATAGCTAACTCACAAACAGAACCTTGAAACAACCTCTGGGCTGATCAAAGAATACAGAAAGGCGTCCGCTGAAACAAAGGCACATGGGCGCACCTTAGTTAAATCTTACGTAATTATAAATGACGTCATTTGAAAACGTTACCTAATATAGGTTGGCGTACGATGACGCAATTTTTATTGGTTGATTGTTATTTAAATTGCTAACTAGAAATCTATTGGCCACCCAACAAAGCAAAGTGAAAAATCCTATTGTTAAAATGGTTGGCACATTTACACCACGATGGCAGTGTTCATAAACAATACGTTCACTTATAAGTTATTATAAGTTATATAAGTTATAACTTATAAGTTGGACGGTGTAAATGTGTTATCAAACTTTGACACACAAAATAAGTTTGTAGGGTGATACTAGATGATCACCCTTAACTGAAATACTTCTACATATGTACTTGGCTATATTCTTGTAGTGTTTCTTCTAAAAACTTTTTTGCATCGTTTCTCTTAATTTCACYCAAAAGAYGGCAAAGTGCATTGACAGTAAATGTCGGACGTTCACCAATTAACCATTCTTTGAGTAATATCTCAGTAGGGCTTGTCTTCTGGTTTGGTTTAAACTGAGAATAGATTTCGTGTTTTATTCCCCAAGAAGAGGCCAAATGCTTCCAGTTTTTTAAACCAACAACTTCSTTGTTTAGTTCCAGACACAATTTCCACATTATTTCACTATCAGGAGGGATGACATCTTTAATGGATCGACAATCGTCTTCTGAAAAGAAAGAGATAAACAACAGTAAATATAGAAACACTTCACTTGGCGAAATGTTTTCTATTTTGTAATAGCGATTTTGAATTTCGGATCAATAACATTTGAATATAGTACTGAATGAATGCTTATTTCAATTTAATTATTTAATTAGAAACCAATATCGTAATATGTGGAAAAGATTGCTATGCATTGAGTGGGATAAGAGAAAAGAAAGAAGGAGCAGAAAAAAAGAAAATAGGAAAAGAGATAAGAGAAATGAAAAGACAAAAGACCACTGATAGGAAAATTTAAGAGGAAAAGGAAGAAAAGGAAGGGAAACGAAAAAAGAGAAAAAGAAAATAAACACAACGAATGCATAAATTTTGAGAGGTTAAAAAAAGAATCGAATAAGAAAAAATGCGAAAGAAAATGGAAAGAAAATGGAAAGAAAATGAAGGAAGTGAAAGAAGAACTAAGAAAAACTAAGAAAATGAAATGAAAACCTTACGTTCAGTGATTCCAGATTCTGAGAGAAGATTCAATATTGAACGTCTTTCTATTTTTTTAATGAGATCTCGGAACCGTGCTACTGTCAATTCCTCTGCTTCCATTGTTGGATACACGTAGTCCACCAAAAGACGTTCTGTGGGATTGCACCCTAATCCAATCTGTTTAACTTCGTCTCCTGGAATTCCAAGTTTATGGCCAAGAATTTCCCAGTTATATCTTTTTGCTGTATCAACCGTGGCTGCAACTTGTTCAAACAGTTCTTCGTAGCGAATTAGTGCATTTTTTACGCTGAGGCATTCCCTTTCATTTTCTAAAAAATATCAAAAATGAATGATATAAAAATGGTCTCAAAATTTTAGAAATATCATGTCTAACAAAACTAAAACACAACTGTATAAGTCACTGAAAAATATAGAGCGTTTACTTGAGAAAGGGTACTGACTTACAGCACGTACACGGTACGACATGCTGTAACATTTAAGTTGCTTTTCATAGAGCGAATTTTGATTGGGAAACATGCGCTACTGACTCAAAAACCACGTACACGGTACGGTATGCCGTAACATTGAACTAATGGCTTCCCAAAAGAATGGTTATCATATGAGTGGAAAAGATACAGTACTGACTTACAGCATGTACACGGTACGACAAGCTGTAACATTGAAATGGCTTCCTATTGTCCTTTAGTGAAGAAATGGAAAACGCGCGCGCGTGCTGTGTGCAGTTATAAAGCACGCGGGGGTTGGCAGAACACGAAAGAAGTGTTAAGATACCGGTATGGCTACAGCACGGCTACAATTTTTCTAATCATTCCTCACTCATCGCAGCGAAACCGCGTGGCATACATGTTATTTAGATGACGATATAATTTACCAGGTATAATATCTTTTATTTTATTGGCCACATCATTTCTTGAGATCGCCTCTAATTTTTCCACCAGCGCATTAACTGAAAGAGTCGAAACCTTCTCCAACTGCATGAGATCTAATGTTGGACTGTGTTCGATGTTGCTTTTGCACTTCGCTATGATTAACGTAGGGGCTTTCAAGCGGCTTGCTAGGTCTTCGTAGTTCTTTATCACCAACGACCTTCTGTCAAGGTAGCGAGATAGGGTTCTAATATTCTCTGCGTCTTTTTCGAAAAAATCGCTCAAAAACATCGCTGCAAAGGAAATAGGCTTAATTTAGTATATAACTGTGAATCATCATCATCATCACCCTCATCACTATCACCACCATCCCCATCACCATCATCACCTTCATCATCACCAACATCATCACCATCATCATCATCACCATCATCACCATCATCACCACCATCACCACCATCATCATCACTATCATTACTATCCTCACCATCATTATCATCACCACCATCATCATCACTATCATTACTATCCTCACCATCATTATCATCACCACCACCATCATCAGCGGCATTAGTTGGGCCATCATAAACATTAACATCATCAACATCATATAGCCAACTTTCTACTAGAGGGATAAATTTATATTGATGTTATTATTGAACCTCCATTAATATTTATTAAGCTGTTTTGAAACTAACGTTGTTGCTCAACACCAAAAGGAATTCCATCAAGGTCATCACTGCTTCGATCACGACGAACATCTGTGGAGAGTTGTATAGGTAATGTTAGTTTCGAATGGCAAATGCAAAACAGAATCAAAGAGTGTTTCACATTTAGCAGTTCAGTGGCAGATCCAGAAACGTTAGAAGTAGTACTTCCTAAACGAGAGCGAGTGTTGGATCAGGGGCTCCAAACACCGAGAAACTAATGAAAGCACGAGGCCGTTTCGAGGTGTTTGCAACCCCTGATCCAACACGAAGCTCAAGTTTAAGAAATGGCTTCTCTGATTCATAATAATTCATAAAAGAAAGGCAAATGCTCCCAGTAAATAGTAGGCGGGCTTTGTTTCTATAGGGCACAATGCCTCTAATTGCATATTCTCAAACGTTTGGAATAAATATTTGGGTTGTTTTATTTATACAAAATCAACTTCTCAATTCCTGAATTCGATCATGGGCTTTCGGGGCTCCATTAAACTAGCTTTGCTAAACTGGATGCTCCTGGATAAATATTGATTCCGTTTGTTTTTTCGTGTCTTTTATATAAATTAGTTCTCAACCCAAAACTATCAACTATTTCAATGTTAGCTTAGTTAGTAAGGCTCTAGAATATCACGCCAGAGGTACCCGGTTCGAGTCACCGGACGTTAGTTACGAATTACACCGAATGTAAGGGAAATGATTAGGTAAGTAGGTAAATAAGCAAGTAAGACAGGTAAAAAAAGGAGAAGATATAACTAGCTAAAAACTAGTGTGAGCTGCGTCGGTGTTTCTAATGAAACAGTAATGATAAAAAGGTAAATTATACACCGTGAAAAGATGAAAAAACTTACTGACGTTTCGGACGCAAAAAAGGAAAAGGCAGTGAAGAATAAAAGAGAAAAAGAGAGTGAAGTGCAGTGGAAAGAATGGAAAATTACTTTCATGCTAATGAGATCCAAAGCCATGGGTTGAGATCACCGTTTGAGATCGGGGTATCCAAACCCATGCACGTGACCAAAAAGCGCGCTTCCGATTGGGCAATCATCTCATGTATTATTAATGAATTTGAGAAGTATCTATTACAAAGGTTTTACCAGTAATGTTAGGAAAAGGGGTGTGGCTTATTAATGATAATACTGAGAAATTGGATTAAAAGCGGGTGTCTAGCCATCCCCTTTACCACCA